TCATGAAGGCACGTTAAATGTGGCGTTGCTGACAGGGATAGACCGGTTGAATCAAGAACTAGGGGAGGAGGCGGTTACCTTTGTTCGGCGTCGTGCTGCGTGGTCAAGTTTTCCTCCGCCCCAACACTTGTTGTGTATGACGGAAGTAGGACTTACACTATATTCAGCAAACAATGTACATAATGTACGTGTACATGTCAACATTATGTACATGTCGGTGCACTAGTAAGTGGTGTGGAGGCGTGCCTTCGCCTTGTCACAGTAAGCTACATGATTGTACGTGTATTTGGGTAACAGTTTCTTTTCATGCTTTTGTGTTCAATCTTTAACTCCGATGGAGTGTTCTATTTACATGTATTGCCAATTTTTAAAGTTTCACAGCTTTGTGAATTCACCCGTTCTCAAGCAGTTGGGAGGGAACATGGGTATGCAGCTTTGCACGTACACTGTACATGGACATGTATGTTTTACGACTACGAGATTGTAAGATGGCAATGAACAGAATCAGCTGAAGCGACATGTTACAAAGGTGTTATTGAAATGTAAAGTGGTTCATTGCCATCTTAAAATTGTTGTCACCTCGCCGCCTGTTCAAACTACGAGATTGGATCACAATTGGAGTACATGATTGAAGGAGTGTTATCGAACCACATCGTAATCTGCATCATCATCATCTCGTGGCAAGCAATGCCAATATTGAATGAGAGAGGGGTGATAGCCAACCATGGCCAAATCAACGAAAGAAAAGTAGTAGACATACATGTATAAGAAAGAAGAAAGAAAGAAGATACTAGTAACTCAAAAGAAAGAAGATAACTCAAGAGATACGAATTACACAGTGGCCCAGAACAAATGAATACCTAGCGAAGTAAAGTAGCAAAAGTGGAAAGTCTTTGGCAAGTCTTGAGGTCCTGTGACAGCAACGACCAATGTGTATATGCCAAAAATATAGGGGACTTCAGAAGAGTGGCTGTGCGAGAGTTTCGGGTAGCTGAGGACTGATGGAACCAGTTAAGCTGGGATAAAACATGAGGTGGGGCAAGACCAAGACGAATTTTATGAATTAGTTTACATGAAGAAAGCCTGTTAGAGAGAGGGCAGCTGGATGCGATAGCATCGACAGTATGAGAGGGCGTCAAACGAGGAATAGCAAAGACAGCGCGAATTAAGCGACGGTGTGTGACTTCGAGACGATTCGTGAGCGATGTGCTGATGCTAGCCCAAATGGAGGAACAGTAGTCAAATACAGGCAGAACATAGCATTTATACAGTATTAAATGGCAATAACGGGGGAAATGAGATAAGTGAGAGGAGAGGAAGCCAACAATAGAACTTGCACGTTTCTCGAGGTATGTAATGTCTGATATCAATACAGGGTTGTGATTCTTCCTTGCTCCAGTTTGTCTCCGCCCCAACGCCTATTTGTGCCGGCTAGCGGCTCCACGCAGGTGATGTATCACACATCCAGTACATAACTTAACTTAATTTCACCCACGTGTCACAATGGGTGACATGTTTGGTCCTGCCTGTCATGATCTGATTGCTGTCAGCATGTCATGTCTCAGCAAACTAATTTTACTGGTAGAAGCGCAGGTGTCACCGATTCCGAAGGTTATTCATCTCCCTGGCACTAAACTCTTTCATGGTGAGATTATTTTGTGATGCGTGTGCCATCCTTACTCAGTGCAACAGTAGGCCTGTCGAGTCCACGTCTACTCACCCAGACAGGGCATTATTGAAGACGTTTTTATGTGGAGTCGTTGGGGACAACGTTTGAGGTAATCTATTGCCATCGATTCATAATAACTGTCAATGTCCCGATGCATGAACAACTAACAATGTACCGGAATGCCATTGTGGCCCATATGCCACATGAGACATGACTGCGACAATGTACCTAGAGTAAATGTTATGATCCGCTGCCACATTGTGGCGTGGGCAGATTGGAGCGAGGTGTCTCTTGTTACACAGTTTTTCACACCAAAGCTCCTACTCAACCCAATCAACAATTCTATCGGCACACGGAATGATCACCAACGATCGTTGTTTACCCTAACCAGCTAGTTTAGGTGTGAAAGTTAAGACTTACTTAGTACAAGCTTACGCTTGTGGAAATATCAGGGCCTGTATTTTAAACACAGCGGATAGAATGTTGCGTCAGACAGATTGCGGCGCGGTCTCGTGCAAGCATGCTGATCATTGCCGGCCTGAAGACTCTGAGTTAAGTGAATTAAGCAGTGGTGCCCGTAGTGTTCTCTCAACGTACTGTCTACGTGATGCCAACCCCATTTGGACATTACTGATAACTCTCCACCAAGCCAAACGTCTCTCCACTGCTATCAACAAACTTGACTTTCATAGTTCGAAAGAATTTGAATTTACTGGAATTGACCCTTTCATCTGCGTATGGCTGGACAATTATTCATTAGTGGGGCCAGTCGATGTTACTGCAGGGAAGGAGGAGCGGGCAGGAATTTGATATTGTGCCCAATACCTACATGAACAAATCATGTGACATGTATCTCTGGAAGGAGGAGCACGCAGGAATTTGATATTGTGTTCAATATCTACATAATTATGTGCATGCAGAAAATTTGATCACGTGACATGTATCTCTGGATGGAGCTGTTAGGAGGCTAGCGTTGGAAACTTGTGATAGCGGAGAAGCAGCACTGCAGTGGGACGATTCTTGTAGCACTTCTTGGAATGCTTTGGCAGGTTTTGTGAGACTGGCGCATGCAGGCACTGTGTGTGTGCATTTGTAAAAGCTTGACAGCCTGTGCTTGTTGTCTTCAATCTGGCAGTGGATTTGGCGACAGAAAGTGCCTTCCCAATGCTGAGCGGTTGTCAAGTTTTGGACATGTCTGGATGCGGTATTTGACATGTTTTACATCGGCACCTGGACCCATCGCCAAATGGGGCCATGCCCAGCGATTGTTCATGCAGTGACAGTGCGTTCCAACCCCACCAACGCATTTCCAATACTATACTGTATCATGATAATACGATCCAGGCTGCTGACCATCTGCAGCAGCAATGGACTGTCGAGAGCATACAATGTACATGCAGAAGAGGAAAGCGAGGATTCTTCTTCTAATTCTAACAACAGCACTCACTATAAACAAGCATTCACACCTACATGTACATGTACATGTACATGTACTAATGAGTAGATACAAAAGTTACATGTACAATGAACAATGTACAATGTAGGTGTGCCGTTGCTAATGTCATGCTAATCCTACGTAAATATCTGGGACAACAGGGGAAGGCATTCGGGCATCCAGGGTTTCGGCATTATTTTTTCCTAGATTGGCTAGGGTAGATCTACCCCGTAAGGAGACCATACATGTATACATGTACATGTATGGTCTGTGGGGACTGCCCTAGAGAAATATGAATAATTACTACTTCAAGTATTATACTATACTATCCAAGCATCTCATGGAGCTTACAGATTTTGACTTCGTACTCATCTCGCTGCACGGCTCAAGTCTCTCAGGAACGCTGCGCAAACACTTTCTTCGCATTGCGAAGTTTGTTCTCCAGGACTATGTACAGATAAATCAATATACAAAGCCAAGCAGTGAATGCCGTATGGTCCGTCACCCAAGCATGGGCTTGAAGAGGGCTTCCCCATCGGCACGGCTACATTCTGAGGTTTCGTCCTAGTGTTCTTCTTCAACTTGCTACTTCGAAGTAGGATTTTCCACTTCAATGAAATGTAGAAAGATATTCACAGGTACATGTACATGTAGGTACTGGTAGTGCCTTGCCATGAGGTTCGTGTCAACCCCTACTACCGTAGTATAAAATAAAACAGCTGTGACTGGCTGAATATTGGGCGTCGTTTCTCGGACAGTTGACGTGATTTAATAATTATTTTTAAAGCCCGCTGAACCTACATTGTACTACTAGTACAATATGTAGTTGGGAGTGGCACAACGTAGAGCGACCGTTATCACATGGGTGCATAAGAAACCGCTATGGTTGACTTCCGTCTCAGTGAGATGTAGCGGACAACACCTCTTCGATAAGCTCCCGCAAGTAATTACTACTACATGTACTTGAGAACGGTTTTATTCCCAACAGCATGACGTAAGAGTCAAAGCAAAAAGACAACCCATTTTCGCAAGTAATAATTATTACTAGTACTGTACTCGCGCTCCGGCCCCAAATCCCTATCCCACGCATTCGGAGGTCCGGATCCGGGAAAGGTGAGACACGTGTTATTCCCCACTCAGATCAGGAGTGCCAGGCCCAGAGCTACCTAGTCCCTGTACATCGTGGTACATTGACATTGTCATGCAGCTCGCAGCCCGGCCGCGGCCCTCTTGTGGACCAGAATAAGTAATGCAGACTGACTTGCACCGCGTTCCGGTATTTACGTCGAAAATGTGGGGGCACGCGCTTGATGAAACGACGTTCTCTCTTGTTTTGCGAAGACTGGACATGTTCTCAAGTCAGGCAGGGTTGATGTACAAGTGCCGCATATCTGACTGCTGAGCTGACCGAGCTTGTCATAATTATCGGGTCGCGGGCTCGTATCGCGTACTGCGATGTATCAAAAAGGTGCAGGACCTTGGTCGCGTGAGCTTATCACGCGTATGCATGTTGACACATGAAAACTGGACAACTGCAAGGTGTGGAGATCAAGAGCTTTCAAACGGCCTAGCCTCGTTCCTATGTGACAGGCGTAAAACACCTCACAACCCAGGGAACGACCATGTAAGTAGTTGAAACCGAGTAGGCTGCCAGAGATAACGAAAAACGTTTGACGAACATGACTAGACTGGAGACTCGGAGAAGAATAGCTGGCCACCCACAAATATTCCCCCGGGAGCTCTGGCGCGAGGACGAAAAAATTGAGTACCTTCCATCTGCAATCTCTCCTCGAGCACTTGCCCCCCCCCCCCCCTCGATATTCGAACCGCTGCACGTGCATAGCGGAACGTCACAAGAAAGTGAAAAAGTATCATTATGATCAGAATGGCATGAGCCGACATCGGGCGCCAACCAGATCGCATAAAACGAACGAACTGACTTGGGACGGCATCATTTTGCTCGCTCCATCTGCAGCAGAATAATAATAATTATTGGAATTCCACCAACCAAATCGGGTTGTTCGGCACCTTCACTGCACGTCGCTACTCAGTCTCAGCAACCACGACCACGATGGCCAGCATGAGACAAGGACAATTTCCGGATCTTGCGGAGGGTTCGCCGGGAAATTGGAGCTCGAAGTCCAACTCACCGAGATCATCGTACGGAATTCCTTCGGCCTGTAGCGTCTACTCGGGCTCGGATCAGGGCAGGTGAGTTGAGCAGTAACAATAATATTGCATGCTGAGTTCGAATAGACAAAATCAGATAGGTAAAGAATGCCCACAGATGAATTTGGTCAGTTGAACGGCCGTGGTATGGATTATCTAGATATCCGGTTTGAACTAGGGTTCACCATGCCAGTAGAGACTTGATTGGAAGGGATGGGATGTGCTGCAGAAGAACCACGTCAGTTGGCGTAAGTCCTTATTCCAGAGAGCCACCGATAGAATCTATCGAAAGAATCAATGCCGATACTGCGAATCGTCGCCTCGTCTGGGTATGCCGGCACCGCTGATAGTGCGACAAAGCCATTCAGAGCCCGAAACAAAACATATCTCGGGTCCTGAAGCCACTAGCTAGACTAGATAGGTTTGTTAGCCTGAACCCATGCTTGTACAAAGCTATGTTGGCCGCCGCAGCAGTCGTAGCGAGAATGCAGCCTATCTCATTTACGATATTGAGCTGCTTCGGAGGAGCTTCATAAATCAAGCCGGCTGGTCAAATCTGTGCCATTCCACGAAGGGATCAGAAAAGAAGCAGTTGGGAAGCGGATCCTCAAACCTAACTGGTCCGTATGCTGTTACGTCTTATCAGGCACATGTGTGTAAGTTTTAGCCTCGCTGCATGGGGCCTGGGGCCCCATCTTTACCCTGATACAGAGAGTAGACATTCAAGCTGCCTCGCTATATTTGAAAAGCCAGTGTTGTGTACTGACAAACACCGAATGTCCGAGTGTGTTAGATCTGCAATTGTCAATCATTTGTACAGATAACAGCAGGGTAGAGCAGTGTGCCGCGGTACGACACTAATAGATACTGAGAACAGTGTCTTATGATGCAATCCTCAATGATCTCCAGCTAAGAAATTAGAAACACTACTAGCTATTGCCATCGTCCGCACCATGACTAATCCGGCTGTTCTTTCCAACTGTTTTATGGACACCTTTCCCACAGATCGTGCCCGTCGTCCCCTGAGAAGAGACCGGACAGTTCGCCAGAACCAGCAGGCGTGGTGTGCACCAACTGTTCGCACAGCTTGGTAAACTCTGTCTCAGCCGCCGGCAAAGCATCCCCGCCCGTTCACAAGGCAACTGCCGCAACACCACCAGCGGGCACAGCCAAAGATGAGGAGGAGGAAGAAGAGCCAAAGAAGCTGAAACGGCCAATGAGCGCCTTCCTGATCTGGGCCCGAACTGAGCGCCGTCGTCTCCACAACATCGTCCCACAGAAAATGCCGAACAGCGAAATCAGCAAGCTGCTCGGTCAGAAATGGCGCATCATGCCCGAGGCACTGAAGGCTCCGTACCACGAGCAGGCCGCCAAAGCTTGCGACGAATATCGCGAAGCCAATCCGAAACGCCGACGCCGACAGCCTCGCGCCCAAGGTGCCGTGCCACTCAAGGCCACGACGAAGAGCAGCATCACGGAGGATACAATGGTCAGGCTGATGCAGTTTGACGAGGCGCCAAAAGAGACTGCATCAATTGCGCCTGCGCCCAATGGCACACTGCCTCTTGCCGCTGTTTCAACGCAGGACTCGATGGCTTGCTCCTCTCACTATGACTACAGCCCAACATCCACTTGTACGGGCCTGTCGTTGTACAGCAGCACATCACGCACGTATTGCCGATCTACTTCTTCAGATGATTCGCTGCACGACCATCTGCTGCAGCTAGAGGTGGATGCTGCCGACGTTGCGAGAATGCAGCTGCCCATGGAAGCGGCCTGGTCCCCGCAGCTGACGGCACAGTTCCCGTACATGGCGGACATTGCGGCCTACAATACCGCGCTGCAGGTCTCCACGGCGCCACCGACGCCCAGCATATCCGGAGCGTTTTCCTCCACTGCCCCGCCAGCCATGGCGAGTAGTTCGGCGGCCTTCCTACCTGGCATGATCCAGCGCATGTTGCCCGCGACACCACTAAGCGCCGGCCCGAACCACCCGGTCTTTCTCGCCGACGAACCGCCCGTGCATGCTAACTCGCACCTATCCGGCTCCCCAGTCGACCCGTCGTCATGTGTGCACGTACATGTCCACGTTCCGGATGTGGTGTCTTCGGCACAGCTGATGCCACCGCAGAACGTGGCAATCGCGTCATCGACACGGGAAGGCTCGGCTATGTCCAGGCCCGGCAAGGCGCAGCAGTCGACAGCGCCATCCTCACAACATCCAATGAAGCCTGTGAATAGCATGCCGCCTGCAGTGTCCCCACCCGTAAGTCTCTCAGCTGGAAACATATCGTCGCATGGACTGCAACAGAATGGCTCCATGCCTGTCGGTGCACTTCTACAGCAAAACGGTACATACGCTCCCAGCCTCCAGTTCCCGAGCTGGTTTGGTGATCTGCTTTAGGCTGTGCTAGTAGTTCCCTATCGATGCCTCTACGCTCGGAATCGGAAACCTCTTGTAACTATTTATAAACATCTCAAACGTGTTCATCATGCTTCACTGTTTATTGATTCAAGCTCTCCTAGCATGTGGTAAGGACAATTTCGAACCTTAACACCGACAGTAGCACCTGAAGCAGGCTTTGGTAGCATGCATCCAATGCTAAATTACTTGCGCATTATGCCGCCAGGACCTCAGCATCATAGCAAGTGCGTGTGCTGGAACTTGGAGCCTTGTAAATTTCTTATTGGTTGTATCTAAGCCAACCAGAAACAATTTATAATTCTAAGCTTGACCGTGCCAACCAATTGTTGTTCTTTGCTAATTTAACATGCTTTATTGAAGCACTAGCCTGCGTGATGACCTGTTTTGCTGGGTTGAGATTTGTCCAAGGTTTTCATTACTTTCTTTTAAAAGACAAGCGAATGTCGATGCTGATGATAGATGACTTGTCGGCTAATGTCCCTGCAACCTTGAACATGCTTTTTGCTGACCGTCGCCTGAGGTGTTTTGACATACAGGAAGTTTACCCCAGCCTGTAGCATTATGTAAGGTAGTCCACAGTAATCTGCCGGAACTGTTTATGTTGCCCTGCAAATGATGAAACGCAGGTTTCCTCTAGAGATGAGTGCACCGCACGAATATCCTGTTGGGCTCAAGGAAACAATATCTTTTCAGACTATGCGTGGAGCTTCACACCTGTGGTTGTTTTTGCCACATTGGTTTGGTGTAGACTTTGCGAAAAGCTGGGCTGGAATCGAACTAGAATAACATGGCATACCGGTAAGAAATTTGGAGTGCTGGGTATTGTAGTGATTGGACTAGAATCATCGGACATCGAATGGCCAATGCTTGGGTGTTTCAACGTTGTAATTGAAAAGACGGAATGACTGTTGAGTTCACATCGTGCACGTATTGTGGTACTACTAAAGAAATTCTTCGAAAACCAGAGGTACATTTACCCCTTCTCCTTACCATGGGTTTTGGGGTGGTAGTGAACGGAGTTGTGTGTTGTTGATTTTTATTTTTACTTCGCAAGGCCAAACGGGCAATGGTGCCCAATTATATGGAAGCAAATTGTGGCTCTTGATCCCAGATGACTACAAGTACAAGCCAGTAACTAAAACGTTACATGACTGTAGTCATTGGTTTGAGGGAAAGATGCAAGCGGAAAAGTCTGAAGACGAAATTGGCTGTCACCACCAGACTGTGTTCAATAATTATTTTGTAATGTGTTTCGTAATGGACGTCAGGACGGCTTGAATTAAGCCGCTGCCGTTGCAGTTTTCGGCGATGGGTAAAGTTGAAGAGCTGGTTGAAATCCCAAGCAGAAGAACCGCTTTGTCTTACTACTAGCTATGCTTTCTCGATCGGACTAAAAGCGACCTATGATGGTCGAATACAGCTGTCTGGGGGCCTGAATAAGAATAGATCACCGGCCGTATCGAATGCCGTGCTTGACCTTTGCTGTGAGACTCAGAGTCAGTGTGTTGGGTGCTTAGAACATTATGGTGGGTGAAGAGGAAAGTGATTCACCGTTCTCAGGCTTTTTCGAATTACAACTCGAACAGTATAGTTCCCAAAGTCGGAAACGAATCTCCACTATGATAACTAGTGAACGAACCCATGGCCTTGAGGACGACATACCGTTGTCGAGTATTTCTTTCCACGTCCACTACTACATGTAGCACAAACGAAGTGATTGTACACGTAATCTTGCTAGATAAGTCTAAAAACCTAGACTTCTAGTACATTGTATTAATCTAAGAGGTATGGTTCAGACCTGTCGCCTAGTCTTTGAATAACTGCTTGCAGGCAAGCAGCCTCCAGAAAACAGGAACCACAACACCTGCCTGCTGTGTTCCTGCCTTTGCCTACTGCGTTCCTATCAACAAAGTGCGACCAGTGCTAAATTAACACAGGTGGGAATTCGCTATGAATTATGTCGACGACAGAGCAGGTAGTCAGGAAAGAGATGCCGCAGAAACCCGTCCTTGCCCTGCGCGCTGCACCTCCGAATGCGCAACGTTTCGACGTGTACATGTGGATGTCCAAGACGTTTTTAGGGACGAACTAACTAATAATTACTTTGATTGTTTTCAGCCTTGTTACAACACAATGATATGTCTGTATCAACTAGCTAGGGGATCAGCGGATTTGACGGTAACAAGTTACAACTAGTGTTTGCAACCATGTACGTGCCCTTGGGCACACAATCATCTTGCCTTGCACTAGCCACCTTGATAGGCTGGGCAGTGGGAGTCGCACAAACGCCAAGAATACCGGTACAAACCAGACAACCTGTGTTCGGAGACAAAGGCTCAAAGCTACAGTGTACATGTGGATGTTACGTCATAGCACAGGATTGTCGGTGGAAACTGGAGCGAAGGCATTGCAACGAAAGGCTTGGTGATGTGCTGGACTATAATGACCAGTTCAGGTAATCTACTTCGGCACATGCTACGCGGGACTCGACGCCAGATTTCCCGCTGGATACAGTCAAGAATATCGTTGGTTACCGATTTACAGCATACATGTATGCCTTGCATACATACAGTATGTGTGTTCGATTATCCGGTTCCCTCGCCTATCCGGATACTTTTTTGATATGACGAAGTAGTAAGTAGATAATGCAGTCGTGCACTACCCTGGTCTGAAGAATACTGTATATTGAGCAGTCAGTGTATTACGCTCCATCGAGTCGGCTCGACTTTGTTGAGCGCCACTAGCTCTTTCTGCCGAGTTAGCGACAAAGTTAGTTGTCTGCCCTTGTGGGTAAATCTCGCTGTGCTTATCTCAGTTAGAGCACGCTGAGGGTGATGCTTTCAACACTTTGTCATCCATTAAACTTCCGTGATTGTGATCGGTTCGGCCAGTAACTCTGAGCTCTGCCAACGAGATCTAACAAGGTGGAAATAGCTAGCTGTCCGGATATTGAGTAAACTGAACAGTAGTACCGTAAAGTCGCGGATAAAAGCCGGGCTTATAAGCACATAAGCCGCTTTCTGCATCAGGCTTCAATGCAAACCAAGCTTGTATGCAAACCATGCTTATATGCACCACTGATATTTTTGCCAGGCTTGTATGCACATCGGCCGATCCGGGCTTGCATAGAAGCCAGGCTTCTACGAGCGACATGCGTAGATTTACCACTGGCTACCGGTATGGCGGCAGTTTTACTATGCACTGTACATAGCGCATGCACTCTTGACCTACTCGATCCGCACTTGCATAGAAGCCAGGCTTCTACGCGCGACAGGCTTATATGCATTGACCCGTTTGATTTTCAGGCTTCTATCCGCGATGTGCTTGTATGCAAACCCGGCCTTTATCCGCGACTTTACGGTAATAGGTTTTTCATTTGACCCGACGAGACCCCACGACGCAGATCACAGCACGAGCAGTCCACCAGCCACACTCCACGAAAGCAAGTAGTAGTACTCCCGACAAGTCTTGTTTCGTTCCATAATGATGACGGGGAACTCATCAGACGAGAAGCAGTTGTTGAATGAATGGAGCTTAGCTGAATAATCAACAGAGAACAGAGAAAAGATGCAACTGCAGGGATAAAGTGAACTGCCCCATGCATGGAAACTGCCAGATCCAGTCAATCATATGCAAGGCCAGCGTGACAGAAACCGGAAAAGACGAACGAAATGAGTACCTCGGCCTAACGGAAATGACGTTCAAGAAGCAATACGACGGACACATGACGTCAATGAGGCATGAGCGAATGGAGAAGAGTACAGAGTTGTCGAAGCTCATCTGGGACATGAAGCGCAAGAACGCCGGGTACAGCATCAGTTGGTCAGTTGTCGCCCAAACACCAGCATACTCCAATGCCACGAAGCGCTGCCCTCTCTGTCTGCGTGAGAAGCTGGAGATCTTGCATGCTGACAGAAGGGTGAACATCAACAAGCGATCGGAGCTAGTGGCCAAGTGCAGACATGAGAACAAATTCTACCTATCTAACTTCACACCTCCAGTTACATAAACCAGGATTACACCTGATGTCTGGCGCTGATCTTGCAAGTACATGCATAGAATCACTGCTTGACCTTATTTGCGCTTAAATTCTCTGATTCCACTAGCACCTTACCACACTATATCAAAAACATTGATTGAGTTTTTGTAATCATGGCTATCTGATGATCGCCACAGGTGTGAAACTCTGAGTCACAGCCAACCCAAGCTCCGTATCCCATTCTATTCTTTTTGTATGAAGCTCTGCACCCCGGTGCATTGAGCACTCTTTCGAGGACCACACCCAACTTTCCGTGTGTATTCTTAAGAGAAGATGCCGTGCACATCACATTCATTCAACAATAATTGCTTCTCCTCTGATGAGTTCCCCGTCATCTTTATGGAACGAAACAAGACTTGTCAGGAGTACTACTACTTGCTTTCGTGGAGTGTGTATTTTGTATTTCTTTTGTATTTTATTATATTAAGGGATTTCCCAAAGGCGTTGGGCCTGTCGAGGGGATCTCCTGCAAGAAGAATGAAAATGACAACTTTATGTAGAGGGAGCAGTTAATCGAGGATAGGCTAAGGAAATAGATCGAGGCATACAAAACCTGATAATTAAGGAGTTGGGATACTGTCAGTGTAATGAATATATCGGCCAAAATGCTAATAGAGAGAATGCTTGAATTCGGGGAGGCTGGTTATAGAGGTAAGAGAAGGCGGTAGGCAATTCCATAGCATTGCAGCTTTGTTGGAAAAGAGGGAAGAGAAACGCACACCGTGATAATTGATGTTAAGTTTGTTTGGTCTTCTTGGACTTGAAGACAGTGAAAGGTGAAAATGTTGGAGGTGTTCTGGAGATATATGTATAAGTTTAAATAGAGTACCAAGAGCTGATACTTGTCTGCGAAAGTGCAAGGATTCTAAGTCACAAAGGGCATTTAACTGGGATTTCGTTTCGCATCTATCTACATTGACTTTTTTACGTAGCAAATACTTCCTAGCTACTCTGGCTTGTAAAATATTTGTACGCTTCAGCTCAGCTTTGGTGATGGAATAGGACCAGGCGGAGGTGGCGTGTTCCAGGGCGGGTCGGACAAAACATTTATATAGAAGTAGAAAGGCTGTGGGGGCAAGATGCCGTCCCATGAAGCATAGCAGATTAACACGACGTTGGAAGATTTTCAGGATGGTCTGAAGTGGGGCTGGTGAACTGTTCGTTGCTGTGATCTGCAAGCGTCATGTGGTCTCGTCGGGTCAAATGACGGACCTATTGAAGATAGCAACCAAGTATTAAACCCAAACAGTCATGTTATAAATGTAGTGTCTTTGCAGGGTGGCAGCGTTCCTACGGATACTGAATAAACTCAGTCTGACCGAGCCTCAAGTGAGCCGTGATTTTTTTCTAAATACGTACAATTTTGGTGTTATGAAACCTGAGGCC